AGTTTTCTAAAGTATATATATATAGATAGATAGATAGATAGATATATAGATAGATATATATACATATATCCACAACGCTGCTTACAGTCTCCGAATGGCTATCACAGAAGAGTTGCATTTTGCCACCGCACTATCGAAACTGTCCTTGGCTTATTCTGTAAAGTTATGGCTTAAAGATCACGTTGGGCAATGAATGCAGCGAATTTGTTTAGTTTCAAAGCACCATTATAAATTTTTTATAACCGTCGTTGAACAGACGATCCAATTTTGAGTTAACGACTACCGAAGTCCAAATCCATTGCCTTTATATTTTGAGCCCAATGTGTGACAAGTGAACTCCCAGATCAAGAATTGGGTGAAATTCGCCTTCTTTGCTGACTAATTCAGCAGCATTTGCATTACATGGTGAAGGAAATCACAGAAACTTCCCTCGGTTAGCCTGACGGCAAGTCTAAGCCATGATCCAACTACCACTGCGGATGTTTTACGTCTGCACTATAGTCAGAACGAGCCGCATTCGGAATTCGTATTGACCAGCCATGGCAGATATTTGATCCTGGGTCATCTCTATGGAAGGCGAGTGCTCTTTCCTTTGAGCCACCACAGCTCTGCAGTGTGACAATTTTCATTTTATTTTATAACCATCGTTGAACTGCCGATCCAATTTTTAAGTTTGAGAATGTATTACTTCTTTTTCTGTTTGACTCTGCAACTAACTTTTCTTACTATTTGACTTATATGAGTGTTTGGACAGGTTAAAAGTGTTAAGTAGTTATCTATTTTATTTTGTGTTCGTACTGAACACCAATAAAGCTGTCCAATAGTTCTGACCAATAGCGGTTGGCATGGCGGATCAAGTCTGCAAATTTTCATGATTTTGAATTCTATGAGTTGAAGAAACCTTTGCTCAAAAATATGTATCTGAATGGCAGAACCCATTTTTTTCACATATTTATTTTTTATTGAAGTGCATGTAGATAAACTCAAGTTTCTCAAGTTTAAAATAGCGTTTTCTAAAAATAGAGTTTTCCTAATCTGATCCTTTAGTTTATCTGACATGACGAAGACGAAATAATTAAACATCTTAAGACGTACAATAAACTCCTTTTTGGATCAATGAGAGCTATAAGCAAGCAAAATTCTTTAAAATCGTCTTCAGCTTCATTTATATCGATGGCGTTTGCTCAAATCCCAAAGGAAAATTTCATTTTTTAAATGTTTCTCTTGAAGGATCTGATTAAAATTTTAAAATGAAAATTTTGACCTTTCACCCGCTGCCTAAATTTCAGAACTCTGGCGCTATTGGTTATGGTGATACACCCACGCACAGACTCTTCATTTCATTATGATAGATAATTTAAAAGCTAGTGAATTTATCTATTGTCACTAAAAATCATACTACTTCACATTTCCTTCTTTTGGAAGTATGCTAGAATTATATTCACAATAAAAACTCCTCTCATTAGACCTGATAAATCAGTTATTCATGCTCTCATTTTCCTTTCTATGCCTGATTGATTGCTCTGATAAAGCTTTTGTACGTATGACTTGGTAATATTTGCCCCTCTTTTTCATTTCGTCTACCTTTATATTATAATCAATAAGAAATTCATGAATAATATTAAATGCTATAAAGAAAAAAATATATAAAATATTACAAAGAAAAAAATTTAACTTAAAATTTACTAAAATCCAATTTTTATCTAAAGATGGCGCATATATTTAAAGACATGCAATTAGGTGCAGAATTATGAAAAACTAAGAATAATTTGACTTCAACTAACTTCAACTAAGAATAATTTGAAAAGTTGTCTCTTAATTGTCATTAATACACATTTTGTCTCTTAATTGTGGTCGTATAACAGAACATAGAGCCAATGTTTTCCAATCTTTCTGTTTTGAAATTGAATTGTTTCTCATTTGACTGAAACCCAATCTTATTGCATTCATTTTTTTTACTTATTTCTTTCCTTGTATTTCTTTAAAACATAATATTAATTTAATGAGAACAATAACTTCAATTCATGATGAAATTAAAATAAAAAATTGTAGAAAAGAATAAATTTTTGAAAAAAAGAAATATCGGTTATTTTTTAATGATATTGTTCAAAAATGGCAGATCAGCTGAACAGATATTTCCAATTGAACTCATAACAAAATCCCATCATTAGACCAAAGGTAAGACTTTGATCCCCTAACGATACTTAGAACCACCTTTTACCGTTATTTTCCAATTGCACTTCATTTTAAACCATCCAATCTCATCCCCTTTTCCGACTTTTTACCAATTTTTTTTTTACCTTTTAACGAAAAGATAATGACAAAGCAGACCCAGGGGACAACTTTACTTAATGACTGCGAATTTCTTTTATATACTTTCATCCATGGTTGTCGAAAGTTATGGTACTTAGCTGTATTTTCTCTTTCAGAGTTTAGCAATTTATTTTATTTTATTTTTCATTTCCCAAACTCCATCATTTTCTTCTCTTTTTTTTTCAGATTCACATCTGTCGTGTGTGCTATAATGACTGAAAAAGATACTTCTATCTCCTCCACCCCTCTTTTAGAATTTTTTCAATCGCCTGAAAGATTCGAAGAAGACTGATGCACTGATCATTATGTACAGCGCTCAACCTGTTACACAACAAGAGCGTATCATTACTTCGGATAAAAGGAAAAGACATAGACTTGTGCTAACGGCGCACTCACTTTCAAGTGCATTCTTTATATTTCCTGATATTTTTGTTTCGTTCCTGTTCTTTTATCTTCAGGCTCTCCCTCTTTACTTGCTCCTTAGTCCTTGTCAAAGAATTTTTTTGAGAGCAGTTTGGAATGAAAATCAATATATTTCTGTAAAGAGTCCAAGATTTAGTCAATAAAACTGTTCCTAAAAAATCTCCTACATATTTTGTTCATTTTTTCTTAATTATTGACCATTTTTTGCTAAAAAGATATTAAAGATTATAATGACAACAATGACCATAATGTTTGAATTCCACCGCAGTTAATTTTGAAACGAAATTAATTATTTAAAACTATCCAGATAGCAGGCAACCCTACAAAAACTGTTCTATATTTATTTTTATTGTATTGATGTTGAAAGGTTGAGTAATTAATAGATTTTTGAACTATAATAGTAAGCAAAGCTTGTTTCCTTAGAGATTGAATAAAGGCATACAATAACCTTTTTTTAGCTTTTATTTTAGGTATTGTAAACCTTATTTTAGTCGTTTATGTAGAAAACTTAATGATCAAACAAACTTTCACTTTTTTAAGCGTTAAAAGATACATTAAAGCTTGCGCAAATAAACAGTATTCAGCGATTGTCATAAAATACAAAATAAACCGTGAGAAAGTGAATTTATCCTTTGTTTGAAAAACGTTTTCTACTCCTTATTTGCGAATTATATTTTATCTTCTTATTCAGAAAGTTTTACTAATATTGTTTTGTAAAGGATATTAAGATGAGAATGAAATTTCGATATAAAAGGGTTGTTTATGCAAGCTTAATGCCAACCTCATAGTGAGTAAAATAGCATAGTTAAAATGATCATTTATTCAAGCTTGCATGGTTTATTTGCTATTCAATCATAAACCTTGTTTGGTTCTACGATAAAGGTTGATGCTGACATTAAAGTCAACCTTACGCTACTATCTGAATACTAGTTTAAAACTCATCAGGGTTTTATATAAACTTTTTGTTTATACCTATTTACACACCTGCTATTATTATCTAGATAATTAAGGTTCTGTTTTCTAGTGTGCTTTTTCCTTTTACACCTAATCGAATTAGAGGAAAAAAATATAAAACCAGCGAAATTGATAAGCTTATTATAAGCCAGCCAAGCTTATTCCAAGCTATTTGGTATTCTCATGCAGCCAGAAACACGGTAAATGTTACCATTTTCTGGTAGTTTTGACCACATTTTCTTCACATGTCGGAATATCTGTCTAAATAGAGTTCATCCGATCAAAACAATTTTTCCTTTTTTAATCTAAGGGCTTAGCATTTAATAAACCAGATTCGAGATTGAGCGAATTTTCTCGGGTTTTACTCCAAATCAAAAATTCCAGCAATCTGGATACAATCTGTATTTATACAGTTTTCTAAAGTTTAAAGCTGAAAGCTAAATCTATAACCAAAGAATTATTCATTATCAACTCCTTTCATTATATCGAATGACAGAAAATCCGTCAAAATTATCCGCGGAATGACCCTCTCCACAAATGAACCACTCCGTTTGTCTTATGTTTCACTACCCTCAAAGCTCTGCGGGAAATTATTTAAATAATATTTAAAACTTCTGATACTTGAAACATTTCGTTCTATCAGAAATTCCTGGAATGTCGGTACAATCTACATTTACTCGATTTTCTAAAGCCCATAACTGATAGTGAAATCCCTAATCTAAAAATGATTCACTCTGAACTCTTTTTATTTCATACACTGACCAAAAATTAATCAAAATCATCAGTGGAATAATCATCGCCCTAAATGAACAACTCAATTTTCTTGTGTTCTCTTATTCTCAGAACTCTGATATATTTCTGCTTAGTGCTATTCCTATAAGTGAAGCTATTCCAAGTAGTTCTTAGTGAAATGGTATTCTAATATTTAAATAAATGGTATTCTTGCAGTTTAGTAAACAATCCAAACAATATTTTAACCACATGAAATCTTTTAAATAATATTTAAGAGCTCAGAGGATAGACCACTCGCTTTCCAATTAGGTGATCCGGGTTTGAATCCCATCTATGGCTGGTCGATACGAACTTTACACCTGGCACACACTGACCACTGTGATAACGTAAAATATCCTCAGTGGTACACGGATTATGGGTTATAGTCCCCTTGCCGTCAAGCTAATCCTGCTGAGTTTTCGGGATTTTCTTCTCCATGTAACGCTAATGCGGGTTAGTTCCATCAAAAAGTCCTTCTCGAAGGCAAATGTTTTAATACTTGATCCAAGAGTTCCCTTTCCTTTTGAATTTAGTTCAAATTTACAAGGCTACGAATTTGAGCATTGGTATACGTAAACTAAAAATTGGGTTGGCAGTTTAAAGGCAGCTATAAAAAAATGATAATATATAGGACCTACGTATTTGAAAAGTTTTTTTCGATCAGAAATTCCAATAGCTGAGATACAATTTTTATTCATTCACTATTCCAAAGTTTATAACTAATAGTCAAATTTCTAATCTAACAATGATTCATGCTAAACTCCTCTCGTTCTATTCACTGACCGAAAATCAATCAAAATCATCAGCTGAATAACAATCTCCACAAATGAACCAATCCGTTTGTCTTGTGCTCCCTTACCCTCAAAACTCTGCTATCTTTTTGCTTATTGTCATTCTAATAAATTTTTAGTGCTATTCTTTTCAAGTATTCAAATAAGTGTTATTCTTACAGTTTAATAAACTGTCCAAGCAATATTTTAATCACGCGAAGTCTTTTAAATATTTTTTAAGACATGATATACTCGAAAAGTTTGTTTTCATCCGAAATTTCAGTAATATCCGTATAATCTACATTTATTCAGTTTTCTAAACTTTTTAACTGATAGTGAAATCTCCAGCCTAACAATGATTCATTCTCAAGTCTTTTCACTGACCGAAAATCAATCAAAATCATCAGTGGAATAACCATCCCCACAAATGAACAACTCCGTTTGTCTTGTGTGTTCCCCTACCCCCAAAACTCTGCTATCTTTTTGCTTCTCAAAAATAAAAATAAAAATAAAAAATAGAGATATAGCGAGAAACAGTTTTGCCGGTTGGCCGCAGCTACAAGAAGAGCAATTTATCTCAAAAATAGATAGTTTCTCTTCGGAATCTATCGCTCAACCAAGAAAACCGCTTCTGAGTCTCCCTATCACTTGGCTTACCTGTGAAACATTTTGGGGTTAGGATCAGGTAAAACGGACCGTTTTATCACTTAGTTTGCCTTGATATGTCCCTTAGGTTGATAAAGAAGCTATCGTTCTGTTATAGGAATGCCCGTTTTTATCTCGCATTTTATAACCTGTAGCGATTTTGATGTTGTTTTTATTTCTTCATTGTATCTGACAGCCGAGTATGTATCGTGTTGAGAAATGGTTCAGACCAATCATTTAGATTTACCCCTAAGGTATCTCGCTCTTTTCTGGGTTTGAAAGTCAATTTCTTAGAGTAACAAGATCTCGCGCTGAGAAAAATAGTATGGTTAAAACTAACAGAATATGGTGACATTTAAAGTGTTTCTGGCAAACACCATAAATCTCGGTAAATTTTACCCCAGATCTTTGGTAATGATTTTGATGAAATTAACAATAAAATATGTGACGAAAAAATAGAGGTTCAAAAATACATTAAAGGGATCGGAAGCAAAGGAAAATGCTTAAAAAAAGAAAAAAAATTTGTTATAATCCAAAACCCAGTGTTATAATATGCTCTATGAGAAGAGGAACAAAACTTGAAAAAAATGATTGAATAGTCCCTCTGAATACTACAACCATTTTTAGATGGAATATAACATGTATTTCAACTAGAAAACATAACCTTTTCTTTCAGTTATATTTATTTACCATAAATAAAAAAATTTAGCTCTTAAAAGGAGGCTCTTTCTTACATCGTCATACCAAAAACTAATCAGCTGATTCGCTTAGAACAAGTAAAGTACTTCCTGAAGTTATAGAGACTTAAGTTATCTTTTTAAGAAGATTTAAGTTCAGTTATCTATTATTGAAATTTTTACGGCTGTTTTCGCCAATATAATTAGCTGTATGATTTATTAAATAGCTTGATAAAGTTAATTCATATAAAAGTCAGTCATTTATTTTTATATTAAAAAGAGAAAACGTAAATCTCTTAGCACTATTCCATGAATTTTTATTTAATTTATTTTTATTTATTTTTATTTTATTTTAATTTTTAACTAATATAATTAAAACTTTTACTGATTTCATTATATTTTGCAGCAGGAAGTTGTTAGTGTATCAAGAAACAATTGCAAAGATCCACGGAGTCTAAATTGCATCAAAAATTTATGTTGTATTTGTTTTGATACATCTGCGCATTGAGTCACAACAAAAAAAAATGCATAATTTCATCGATTTTTAATAATAAAACTCTAAAATGAAAATAATTATTAAATATCACGCTTATTTATTAATACATTCTATTAACTATTGAGTGTTTTAAACAAACCAGCATCCGATTAAAATATTTTCAATTTAATTTTGTATTTACTTTTTTATAAAGCAAAAGTATTGTCTGATCTTAATTCTGCTGCAGATTTAGATTTGTTAAGTATAAAAATCTCTTTGCACACCTGATAATGATTAGACTTGGTAGCAATCAAATAAATAAACAATACAATACAATAAAGTTTTAATTGCATACTTATTTATTGAAAAACTTTATTAAACTTGCAATTTAAGCAAAATATCGAATTAAACTATTTTTGAAGAAAGGAAAAATTTACTTTAATTTTTGACATAAGTAAAATAGGCTCTGAATTAATTTAGTCAGTAAATTTAGAATTGCGTAGCTTGAAATATTTTTTTCACACTTGATATCGTTGTAAGAAAGTACACAGCCAAAAAATATTTGAATTTTTTGAACCATAATATAGATAACATTTACTGCAACCCAAATGTGTTTCGAAGTTAAACCATATTATCATACTTTAGAATACGATTCGTTGATTACACAATAAATTTGCCTTTATTATACGATTTTTCAACTTGAAAGGGAAAATGGCTGAGTTTAACACACTTGCTTAGGTTGCGTCGTAATACTGTTTAAGTTATTCATTATTCATCTTATGGTTCAAAATTGAACCAATTCTTACGAAAGTCCAGGAATAAACTTTTCACTTTACCAAATTGTTAAATTAGTACTTTTCTTCCCTGATTATTT